CCCCCCCCCGTGCTTATGTGTGTTATGAACACACTCCAGTTCCCTGAGAGAAGGCCGTCATCTGAATTAAGGATTCCAGTCTTCGGAATACACTGCATTCTAAGGGCCTGTTGGACAGCAGAGCTAGAAGACAGTAGGTACAGAGGCCCCGCTGCCAGCACTATATTACCAGAGGTGGATTCAGGAATCAAGAGCTGGCATTGACTTCTAAACAGGCAGAAACCAAATTTCTACAGTGCCATCTACCTCTCCCACACAAACATAGGATAGCAAAGTGATGAAACGTCCAGGGGACAGCTGTTTCAGGAAGGAAGGGGCTACCTCTACTTTACTTCCTCAAGTATGAAACTAGGGTGGTTTGGGGGGTAGAGGGGGTCATAGAAGGTTGAGGAAAGGCATGGGCTTTCTACCCTGGAGTTAGGGGAGTACACAGAAGCCACCATCACATTGCATTGGGTAGGCAGTGGCCTTTGAGGTTACAGGCCTGTCCTGTTGTCCATTTGGTGGTAGGGGCAGCCTTAAAACATTCTCCTTTTGCCCTTCACAGGCCCCCAACATTGTTTTCTGCAAGGCTTGTCAGTTTGTGATGCAGAAGTTCTCTGCACTAACGGCTAACAAAGACGCTGTGGTATGTTGCCTCATTGCATGGAGAAGCCCCCTCTCTGTTTTCCAGAGTCAGACAGTGCCCATGGGACATGGTCTCCTGACAAATGCACACCCCAGTACCCAGGAGGGAGGTTCCCAGCACCCTATGCATTAGCCAGTGTGGTCTTCAGGGGAGGGATGTAACACTCCACTATTGGCCCATTCCCTGGTGGGTCTAGGGTCTCTTCTTCCTGGCTAGCTCCAGTCTGATGTGATGCTTTCACCTGTTTCAGGATCTAATGATGAAATCTGTGAGCAAAGCATGCACACTGATCCCCGGTCCTGATTCCACCAAGTGCACAGAGGTGATACAAACGTTCGGCCCCTCCCTGCTGGACATCCTTCTGCGTGAGGTGAGCGCAGACATGTGTGGTGTGATCCGCCTCTGTTCCGGTAACCCTGACTCAGTGGAGACACTTGAGCAGCCCGCAGTGCCCATCCTGTCTGCACTACCCAAACAGCCTGCATTGCGTGGTAAGTCCAAGGCCCATGGAGGGAAAGGGGGGCCATAAGAGGCCACTCTCAAGTTAAGGAGGACCCTGCCAACACTGAGCCCTGTGTCATTTGTGTGTAGCCATTGTGCCTCAGAAGAAGACCGGTGGGTTCTGTGAAGTGTGCAAGAAACTGGTCAGCTATTTGGAACACAACCTGGAGAAAAACAGCACCAAGGAGGAGATACTGGCTGCACTTGAGAAGGGCTGCAGCTTTCTGCCTGACCCCTACCAGAAGGAGGTATGGGGGTGGCTGTTCACTGCGAATGTCCCAGTGCAAGTGTGCAGGAGGGTCCTCTGTGCTCTAGGCTTGCGGCTGGGAGGCAGCATATGGAGCCATAGAAGGAAAAGGGCCTAGGCTAGTGAGGTCAGCTCCCAGACCCTGAGGCTCTGGAATGCCTAGCTGCATTGATATAGCCAAAACCAAAACCTGTGTTCCTTTCCTTGGCAGTGTGATGACTTTGTGTCTGAATATGAACCTCTGCTGGTGGAAATCCTTGTGCAAGTGATGGATCCTTCCTTTGTGTGCTCGGTAAGCCTCACCAGGTGCCTGGGCCTTGTAGCAGTATGGATGTGGTCTAACAGGGTGGAGTGGGGTCAGGGAGCAAGATAACCAGACTGCTATTAGATTGTGGCAATTCTTCAATCTCCGCTTATTTCCCTCTGCTTTTGTCCTTTATCATACAGAAAATTGGGGCTTGCCCTTCTGCCTCTAAGCTGCTGCTGGGAACTGAGAAGTGTGTCTGGGGCCCTAGCTACTGGTGTCAGAACATGGAGACTGCAGCCCGGTGCAATGTGAGTGTCCTAGACTGCCTTCTATAGCATGGCTGGGGTTTGCCTCGTGGAAATAGAACCACAGCCCTAACTGTGCTCTTTCCCATAACCCATCTCTGTCCTTGAATGATGACTAGAGATTGTACCAAATATGTAGGACCCAGGGCCTCTGAACAAGTCCTCATGGGTCCCAAGGGACACATGTTTTTCTTAGCTGAGGCCCAGCATGAGCCTTGACTCAAGGGTACTCCAAAGATGTTTGAGCAGCTGGGCCGGGGGTTGGGAGTGGTGGTGGCTTTCCTGAGTGGGATCCTGGACCTGGCCTCTGGTAAATAATCCTTCATTCAACTTTTGTTTCCTTGTCAGGAAAGATAAATCAGTGTGGGCCACTGGTGGCTTATCTGCACCCTTATCCCCATGGGTGGCACATGGGCCAGAGGCTGCTCCTCCTGTGCCGTGCTGGTTTTTTTTTTTGTCAAGCAACAGGACTTGGGACCTCACTGGCAGTGGGTGAAGGGGTCTAGAGTCATGCTGTTAGGGTGCTCTCATGGATAGCAAGGGGCTGTATGTGTTGCTCTGGTTCTGGGCAACCAGATCTCAAAGCTCTGAGGGTCCCAGGTCTTAAGTTCTCAGCATCTGTGACTTGAACGAAAGGTAGGTCACATTTTGGAGTGATGCTGACCTGCATGTGACCTATGAATGTTTGTCTTGTGTATCCTGACCTGTTTCCTTTTCTTCTCCCAGGCTGTCGACCATTGCAAACGCCATGTGTGGAACTAATTTTCCAGCTTGCTGAAGTTGCAGCCTATTTGTGGGTCTAGGATAATGAACACACAAGATCTATTTGACTTCATTCTAAGTAGGACCCCTACTACCCTACCCCCCTTTTTTTGTCCTTCCCCCATCTTATAGCATTGCTGTCTTGTAAGAGGTGCTGATGGCCCCTTTCAGTGTTCCCCTTCTGCCTGAAGGATGAGGACATTCAGGGCATCAGCTCTCCAGCTGCCCTTTCACCCACCTGCTGGAGGGGGTGCTGAGCCAGAGAGCAGGAAGGCCTTCTGAGCCCTGACTTGGTGTACGGGGTGGGGCTTCTGTGGCCACCTCCTATCTTGAAGAGGTTGCTGCTCACCTTCCTGTGGTACCGAGGAGTTTTCTATGGATGATTTGAAGCACAGGGTAATCAGGTCTTTGGGTTGATGGAATTGCCATCGTCATAGCACAGATTTCAGAAGCACCTGCAGGTGGCTTGCTTGGGACACTGCTTTCTAGGTCAGCCTTCCCCTCTGCTTTCCTGTGTTCCCCCTGTCTACCTTGTTTGGGGTTCTGTGGGCTAGGGTGGGGAGGGGAAACTTCTGAATGTAACTTGCCCATGCCATGTGGGCCTGGCCTTTTGTTGTGTGAGGGTCATGAACAGTGTTGTCAGCTTGGCTGTCAGGGCCCTGCACGCCCCTTTCCTACCTTGTAGCTCTTGTTGAATTGCTCTCACCTCATCATGGATGAAGCATCTGCCTGGCAGCGGGCGATGAACTGAGAGGCCTCTGTGTAGCGTAGGTACTGTTGGGAATCTTGGCTGGTCTGTTGAAGAGCTGAAGCTACTCTTGTGCCTCCGGTTGCCAGCAGACGGCCAGCAGGATGGGCATGTACAGCTAAATGGACCTAGATTTTAATTTGTTTTGCACTAAAGTTTCTGTGACTTAATAAAATTCTGTTAACCAGATCGAGGCTTCTGTTTCTTTGACACCCCAACCCGAGGCTTATGGGTCCTGAGTCCCCGGCCCCTCCCATCCCCCAGAACCTCATACGTCACCAGAGGCAGTGTGCTGCTGGTTCCATGTGAGTTGCTTTTTCTTTTTAAACAGAGCATTCCAGAAACTTTCATTGAATATCAGTTAAACAAAACCTGGAGGAAATCTTGAGGGAATAACTTAATTTAGAAAAGGAATACACACAAACACTCTACATTCAAAACCCAAGGGAACATCAGTCATGTCTCTCAGCTAAGCACGACAGAGAGATGGGACGAATGCTTGGTTGCCCACATCAACCTTGTGTGTGTAGGGGCAGGGAGCCACCTGGATGTCCAGCAGGCAGAAATTCAGTGGGACTTGAACTGAAGCAGGGTGCTGGCAGAGTTGTCAGTTCTGTGCTGGACCTCTGCTCCGTTGTGGCATAGGGAGGGGCTGAGTGGGTCCTCAGGCTCTGGGGGTTTCCCCAGTGACCCTCCATACCTTGTCCTTAGACACTTAGCATTTTTTAAGTTTTCTTAGAAAAATAACCGACTTTATGAAGATAGAGATCAGATGCTGAACCAGTGTATCTGGTAGGAGGTGAGTCCTAACAGCCATACAGGCTGCCAGGGCCAGCCCAAGGTCATTCACGAAGGCCGGACTGGGCAGAGAGCTGGCCATGCTCCTGCCCTGGAGGATGGTGGGTGGGCTGCTCAGCAGCGAGGCTTGACATCACAGCTCTGTGATTTCCAGCGGGCTCTCCATGATCACGTCTCGAAGCTTGTGCAGAGGGGTGGACTTGGCCGACTCTGTGCGGGCGTTGCGCTCAAAGGCCGTGGCCTCAGAGGCTGTCAGAGTTTCCAGTGAGCGGTCCAGCCCCTTCTGGTCATCCTCTGGCAGGCTGTTGAGGTCAGTGGCCAGCAGTGTCCCTGTGCTGCCATGAACCATGTGGATTCCATCTGGCCCCTTGAGTTCCATGGGTGGCTTGTGGCGGAAACGAAGGCTGCCCTGGCCTGGGCTGTGGTCACCGGGCTCCTCATCCAGTTCAGGGTGGATCAGCTGCAAAAGGTGGGACACATCCTTATGGCTCAGAAACTACAGAGGGCTGTGTCCAAGGTTTGAGTAGATGACCCCAGAACTGCACTGGCTGTGACCGCTTCTTCACTACCTCATCTAATGGATCCACCCAGCAGGCCTGCCAGCCTTCTCAAATTAAAAGGGTTAGCACCTGTCATCCAGTGTGGGTGTCAATCTGGACACCACTGTGGTGTCTGAGTTGTAACCACGCTGATACTAAGCATGGCCAGGTAGAACTCCCCAGAAGTCTAGGAGGAGCACATTGGCTCCTCCCAGGCCTTCCACCCCTCTTGGTAGCATACACTCAGGTGAAAATGGGCTTCAGGGAAAGCTAGTGTAACGATCACTCTCTAGTTGCTGAAATAGTAGCCAATGTAGGCCTGCTTGGCCCTTCTGACTCATTTCTTAAAGTGAAGTCCCCTTAGAAGGTAGTTTGGGGTTCTTGGCCAGAAAGACCCCACTGAGTCCATATAGCACAACCTCCTATCTGAATTCCTGGAGCCGCCTCTGGCACAGACTTTGGGCTTGGCTGCTAGGTGAGCGAGAGGGGGGAAGAGAAGAGCACAGATGGAGAACTCCCCAGTGGCAGGGTGGTAGAGACGGTGAGAAAGCAGCATCCCCAGGAATGGGGCACGGCACACGGGCACACAGGTTTCCCGCTCCCGAGGCTACCTCACTACCTCGGAGATGGAGGAATGGCAGGAGGAGGCTTTTTGCACCATCCGCTGTGCAAAGAGTTTTTTGAGCCGTAGGTAATCCTCCAGGACCACCTTCAGCAGCGAGCCCTGAGGGAAGGAGAGGGTTAACTCTCCGCTTAGTCTGGTGCCTGCCTTACCCTTGCACATACTCCCATAGCAATGAGGGGGGCACAGGTCCTAGAGCAGAGGATGGGAGGAGAGCCTGACCATTGGCCAGCCAGATGGCCTCTAAGACACCACACAAACCTCATTAGTCCTAGTGCCCAAACTCCTAATCTAAGGCAGGTCCAGATAAACATCTCCAAGCATCCTTGAGTAGGGGATCAAGTTCAGATGGGGTCTGTGTACAGGACCCTGAAGGGGAGCGCCCACCTTAATAGGCCCCTCTCGAATGATCTGGCCCAGCTTGGCAATGTTGTCATATTCTTGGATGGCTGCACGCAGGTATCGGTCATCATCCGGCTTGACTGCTGCTGGCTCACGCCCAAAAGTTCCCTGGGGGGAGAGAATGCTGGCTGGAGCAGAGAGGTTGACACCATATGCAGATGGCAGAGGGAGCCACCCTCCAAAGTCTTTAGCTCGGCCACAGGCTGCCACCCTGGCTCACATGGGTGCGGGTGGGGCTGTTCCACAGATCTGCGATCTCACTCAGGTTCTCAGGCAGGTCATCCTCATGCTCAGCCTGCGCAGCCAGCTCCAGGTTCCGGCAGAAAGGGTCCAGCCACACAGGGTTGGCTCTGCAGTTGGGGAGTGGGAGAGGGTGGGCAAGATGCCTTCATAGCCTTGCCTATAAGACCTGCCCGTTCCCTTGGCCAGCCATAGTGCTTTCTGCAGGTCTACATAGGAACTCTGCAATGGCACCTGTGGCTACATCCTTCTATCCTAGGATCCTGCTAGAGCCAGGACTGCATGCCAGCCTGGGAAGCCTCACCCACTTTCTATGCCCCCTGGACAGCACATTTCTGAGAGTGCAGAGAAGTGACTAGCCCACTAGGGGGTGCCCACACTCTGTGTTTCAGCCAGTGGCCGCTACAGATAACTTCTCACTAGCTGGGTACTTCAGGGATCTCCAAAGGGGATCTGCAGACTTGAGGAGCCCACACACCCGTCAAAGGAGTATTTGTTGGTATTGGGCATGTCCATGATGTCAATGAAGCCACGGTTCCCTGCAGGGAGAGGATTTGAGTGAGGAGGAAAAGGGTACAACCAACAGGTGCACCTGGCTACCTTACCCTGGCCCCCAATAGCCTTCACTTACCTGCAGACCCAGCCACAATGGCCTTGAGCTTCCTCTTGTGTCTGGAGGGAGGGAGAGAGAGAGCGAGAGGGGGAGGGGGAGGGGGGGGGGGCGGGAGAGGAGGGGAGAGCGCAGGGGGAGAGAGAGGGAGAGAGAGAGAGAGAGAGAGAGAGAGAGAGAGAGAGAGAGAGAGAGAGAGAGAGAGAGAGAGAGAGAGAGAGAAGAGGAGGAGGAGAAGGGAAAGGAGAGGGGAAGGAGGAAGAGAAGGGGAGGAGGAGGGTGGGAAGAAGAGTAGGGAGGAGGGAGAGATAGAGTCAGTCCCCTAAGGGAAGCTGCCCTGCTATCTCTGGTCATCGGCCCTGCCTGCCTTGGTGCCTGCTGACAGGAGACCTTGGCCAGTCATGGTCAGGCCTGAGGTGGGGTCACTCACACGGTCCTGTAGTACCAGTTCATGAGAACGAAGAGCATGGCAGCCAAGAAGAGAAGGATGGCTAGGACAATGATGGCCATCTGTGGAGATAGCAGGCCAGCCATTAGCGGGTGGGCTCAGGGGCACAACCCAGACCACAGGGACTGACTGGCAGAGCGATGGTACCTGCAGGGCAGACATATCATCCGGCAGCCGGACAGAGATGGCAGGCTGCACGTCCAGGACATTGTAGTTCCGGAAAAGGTTCCGCAGCTGCTCCTTGTTCTCATCAATCATCTGGATGACCCTGCACAAGGGTGTGGTCTCTGCTCCACCTCTGCCACCCACTGCCTTCAAGAGCCACCCTCCACCCAGGGAGCAATGTGCTCTGCTCCTGCCATGAGCCCCAATGTTCACACTCTGCTCTGAAGTTTCGCAAGAGAAAAGCCACCTAGCTGGGATAGCTTAGCATCTTACAGGACCCCCAGGCCAGTGTTCAAGGCCCTGATGTACCCCAAACAAATGGACACTTTATATGCAAGGAGTGTGTGGTGATTTGAATAGGAATGACACACCAATACACTCATCGATTTGAATGCTTGGTCACCAGGGAGCAGCACTATTAGGAGGTGTGGCCTTGTTCGAGGAAGTGTGTCACTGTGTGGGGGTGGGCATTGACGTTTCTCAAGCCAGGCCCAGGCCCAGTGTCTCTTCCTGCTGCCTGCAGATTTTGATGTAGAATTCTCAGCTTCTTCAGCACCATGTCTGTCTGTGTGCCGCCATGCTTCCCAGCATGACAATAATGGGTTAAAGCTCTTAACTATAAGCCAGCCCCGATTAAGTGTTATAAGAGTTGCTGTGGTCATGGTGTCTCTTCACAGCAAGAGAAACGCTAAGACAGAGCGTGAGGTCCAGAGGGATGAACATAGCTCTTGGTACCTCATTGTATTTTCCCCCAGCTCTGACCATGCACTGAGTCCAATAATAAAGTATGTGTTTCCTTTGGGGGTTCCCATCCCTCAAAACAGGAGGGCACAGCTCCCCCCCGCCCCCACCACGTACCTGTCCACATCCAGGATACGGTTTGTGTCCCGGTTCACCACGTGAATGAGCAGCTCTGTCTGTGCAAAGTTCACTCGCCCTTTCTTGTCCACATGGAACTAGGGGAGAAGAAAGCTTGTGGGGTAGATCTTGCACAGGGGACGGGATGGGCGGGCATCTTGCAGGAGCCCATCCAATGTATCTCATGAGACCTATCACTGCCAAATCTCCACTAACCTCCACACAGGGCTCCTTCATTATCCACCTTATTTATGGATAAGGAAATGGAGGCCCGCAGACCTGGGGCCGTCCCTCAAGGCCATGTGGCTATGAAGTGACTAAGGAGGTGTCTCATCTGCCCCCTTTCTCTTCCCACTGCCCCAGTTCTCGGGCCCCAGGGCACCTGCACATCATCGGTGTTAACAATGGCGCCTGTGATGTTGGAGAGCAGGCGAATGAACTCCTCCTCAAAGCCACGCACACGGTCTGGGATCTCATTGATGACTATCTTAACACGCTGGTCATCCC